CCCGAGTGTGCGGTGGTGTACTGGATAGCGGGCCAGCCTTTCACCCACGGGACGCGGGTTCGACTCCTCTCGAAACCACCAGGGTGCCGTATCAGGCCGCTTGGTCAGTATGAGTAGGTAGAGCAGATGATTGCCGTTTGCGGGTCGATAAGGGATTCCTGTCAGCTCACACCGGCGGTCAAACATTTTGAATTTTTCAACACCAATGACTTTATCATGGGGGCTTCTGACCTTGTAAATGCGCCAATAGATGTGATTTCTCTCGTTTTTTGAGAAGATTTCAGTCTAAAGTCTTTTGCCCATCTCCTAAGAATTGTTTAAAACTTCTAAATCTTCAATTGAATTTGTTTTTGCCTTTTTTTGAAGCTTTTACTTAGCTTTTGGGTTTTGACCTTGTAGCTGCTTCAATCGATCTGGTTTCAGGTTTTTTTGGCAAGAATTTGCCCACCAGCTTTTTGACCGTTTTTTTAGGTACTTTAGAAGGCTTCAAACCCTTGTATTTTCCTGTTTTATACAACCCCCTTTCCTTCTCCCTCCAATAATAAAGACCTCTTTCCTTTCTTTTTTTTATTGGTTTTTTTTTTTTTTTTTTTTTCTCTTGGCGTGTTTTGTTGGTATTGGGGGGGGGAGGGGGGGGGGGGTGCGTGTGTTAGATCAATGGATTGAGAATTTAGGGTTGGGGGGGGGGGGGGGGCAAAAACAAAATTTAAAAAATTATTTTTTTTTTTTTTTTTTTTAAAACCTTTTTTTTAACCCTTTTTTTTTTTTTTTTTATAAATTTTTTTTTTTTTTTTTTTTTATAATTATTTTTTTTTTTTAAATTTTTCCTTTTTCTTTAATACCTTTTTTATATTCTTATTATTTTTTTTTTTTTTTCTATTTTCCTTTTTTTTTATTTCTTAAATTATTTTTTTTTTTTTTTTTTTTTTTTTTTTTTTTTTTTTTTTTATTTTTTTTTTTTTTTTTTAATTTTTTTTTTTTTTTAAAATTTTTTTTTTTTAATTTCATTAAAATAAAATTTTTTATTAAATAAAAAAAAAAAAAAAAAAAAAATAAATTATTTTTTTTTTTTTTTTTTTTTTTTTTTTTTTTTTATTTTTTTATATTAGGTTTTTTTTTTTTTTTTTCCTTCATTTTTTTTTTTTTTGTGGCCGCCTCCCCGTCTTTTTTTTTTTTTTTGGGTTTTTTCAAGCTCAAGGCTTTCTTTCCGCGATGCTACACCCAACACCTGTTCTCCGTGCATTGGCGCCTAATGGACCCGCCGGCCCTTTTCAGAGAAAACACGAGGCCAGGGTCCGCTGTGACGAAGCCCGAAAAAGCAAACAATTCATCACGGAAATATTTTTTATTGTGCCCAGCGGGAAAACAGTCTTGAATTGACGTTTATCATTCCTTTTTTCTTTACTATCCTTTCCGAATACTGAATCATTTTCCTCAGCGGAGAATAAACAACCTGATTTCGCCGTTTTGCCCTGAATAAAAGTCTTTTTCCCCAGCGCCGAGATTACAAAGCTGTATCGGTTTTATTGCGTTTTTTCAGGGCATGAAGGCGGGAGGGCTGGTCCGGAATGATCTCACCGCCGATGACAAGAACTGCACCGACGGCATTGCATGGATTCAGAATGTGCGTTGCTAGGAAGCCTCTTTTTTTGTGGTTTACAGGGCGGACTGAAAAGGTTAACTTACCGTCCCTTTATCGTTTAAAACCGTTTTTCCAGGTATTCGGCGACTGCGTGGATACCGAGCTGAAGCTGATCGGCTTTATCGTGGGCCTCGTCTCGCTGTGCCTATGGCTGATCCCGTTGATTCCGCAGCTGTTGCAAAATTACCGCACGAAGAAATGCGATGGGTTGTCGTTGGCGTTTTTGTTCTTTTGGTGAGCTTTTTCGGTAAGAGTCTAGGAAACCCCCCCCAGCCACAACTTTTCAGCCATGCGTCCTATTAATGCGCCGAGTATCTCAAAATGTTCGCCGTGGTCGAATTACTCTAGTAAAGTCGTTTACATACATCAAAAATTGTTAGAAAATTTTTTACAAGATTTTGAAATGTGAAAATATTAAGTCGCCATACCTCAATGTACTAAGCGTTTAAAACTCAATTATTTTCTTTTTTTCGCTATTTTTTCGATTCAAATGTATTGTAGCCTTATTCTACAGGGCAAGAGCTACATTTTGATACCATTGACAGCTCTGTAGGACAAAAGATAGTCGAGATACGAAAACTCACTTTAGACCAGGAAAAATTAATTAAAGAAAACCCAGACTTATAATTGTTATAAAAATTTTTCTAACAATTTTTGGTGTATGAAAACAACTTTTCTAGAGTAATTCGACCACGGCGAACATTTTCAGATACTCGGCGCATTAATAGGACGCATGGCTGAAAAGTTGTGGCTGGGGGTTTCCTAGACTTGAGCCGCTTTTTCTTCTGAAGACCGAGTTTAGCAGATTCGTCTTGCCTACAAATATCTTTGCAGGCTGGTCGGTGATACGTGCAATATGCTGGGCGCAATGTTGACAAACCAGCAGCCGATCCAGAAGATCATAGGAGTCTATTATATCATCCAGGTACAAACATACCCTGTAATTTTGAAAATTGATTTAGGATCTCACGCTGTGGGGCCAGTACGGCTACTACCATTATTTCTTCAAACGTGATGAGAGACGTAATATTATCGCCGACTAAAAATCTCACATTTTTAATTCAGGAGTGACAATCGTGGTGCCATGTCTGGCTGTGATGAGCATTGGGTCATTTTGCCTCTTCCCGGAACGCTCTGGGACCGATCAGTTTGTGGTAAGTGACATTTTTTCTCGGATTTTTTTTGCTGCACTAAGGTTTTCGGGAACCTGGGCTTGGCAAATTTCCTCTTTGGCAGGATTTTGGGTTTCAAAAGATCGATAGAAGACGGTGAACCCGAAAATCTGCCAAACCTAACTTCCACTTCTACAGGTCGGCCATTCCCGGGTTCTTCGTTCGGTCGCCGAGCCAAACCTCGAGACAGCGCTGCGCATGTGGCCAATTTTCGAGAGCTACACGGACTTGGTAAGCAGTTTTGCTGCACTCTCCTCGCTATCTTTTTGTCCACCCGTGCATGGTTTTAGCTCCTTCAGGTTTTTTTAACAAGATCGTGTGTGATAAAATTTTTCATGAGGGCCTAATTTATCTAACCGTGTTATTGGAACTGTGTATACACGTTTGTTGCTATTCCTAAACGTGACAACTGCAAATTTTATCACAAAATTCAAAAATTATCGATGTTTCGACCAGAATTTCAAATCTTCAATTTCGAATTTTTTTTCGCTTGAAATATACCGACAATTTATTCTGAGCAATTAAAAATTTTACTATTTTGACTAGGAAATATAATGCAAAAGCACCTTCTATTTACAATTTTTTTTCCAGCTTGGTTACATCATCGGCTCGATCGCGGCGTTGTGCTACTTTGGGGGCCGTATCCCGCAGCTGATGAAGAATTACAGAAGGTAAGACAGCTAGAGAATCTTTACATTTTTTAAATTAGAAAAAGTTGCGAGGGCCTGTCGCTGGCCATGTTCTACATCATTATCGCCGCCAACTTGACGTACGGCTTCTCGGTGCTGCTGGCCTCGACGGGGTGGCTGTATCTTTTGAGGTGCGCCCGTTTTTTTATCTTGTTGCTCGCCCTGGGGGTCGATTTTTGCACGGGCACCGGCTTATTGGGTTGATAAGGGGTGACGAGAGCGGGGTCAGAAATGGACCTAGAATTCCAGATTTTGCGCTGTAGAGAAAAACAAAATCAGTCTTATTTTAATTTTTTTTTTTTATTTATTTTTTTTTTTGTATTTTTTAAAATTTTTTCAATTGTAAAAGGGAAAAATTATATTTAAATTTAAAAAATTAAAAAATTTTTTTTTTTGTAAAGTTTGTTTTTGGATCGAAATTTGTGCTGTAGGTCTATGGATTCTTTAAAATCAAGTGGTGAAGTTGCGTTTGTCATAGGAAAAACAAAAAATGATCCTAAAGAAAAAAAGGGGGTTTCTCGTTTTTTGCAAAAAAATCATGTTTTCAGGCACTTCCCGTGGGTGGCGGGCAGTCTGGGCTGCTGCTTCTTCGACGTGATGATGATCATGCAATACTACTACTACAACAAGCGCCAAGCCGCCGGCACCGACCAGGAACGACTGCTCGACCCCGAGCAGCACGAGGAGTAAAATAGGATCTTTTTCCCTACTGCCCTTGCCTACCCCTTGTGGATTCTGCCCTTTACTAACCGTCTAGCCATTCTAGACTCGATTTTATAGACCCGATCTATATTTCAGGTAATATGTTGTTACTAACCCTCGATTGCCATGCTATCTGTACTTACCGCCGTTCCAACTAACCCCCAAATTTTCCCCGATCACGGGTTTTTCCTGGGCATCGCCCGTTCTATGCGGTATTTTCTGTAAGGAAATAGTATCTTTTTGTATTTTCTACCTTTCCAAAGTCGCTTCCAATTTGTGATTTTTGCCATTTCTGTAAGAAATAGTTCTTTCTCAATTTCCAACTTTCAAAGTCCCTGTTATTTGTAATTTTGCGATTACGATACTTATTCCCGGCCACTAACTGGTATGTCTTGCATTGTGATGATTCGATTCGCGATTTGAATAAAGAAGGAGACTAAACTCTGACACTACAAAAACACATTCACATGGACGGCCCGTCGGAAGGTGGTCGAGCTTTTGGGTGGTTTTACGCTTTTTTAGACCCATCCCAGCCAACGGAGGAATGGCCGCTTCCGGACCCCGAGCCTTCGGACGACCCGTCGGATTATCCTCCGGATTGTAAGCTGTCTGTTTTACGTTAATTTCGGCTTTGAAGGGTCAACAACAACCACAACGTCGACAACTACATTCCCGCTTCTTCCGCCGCCGAAGGAAACTGGTGGGATTAATCGATAAAATTCGGTATTTTTTAGGGGGAGCTAAAAGAGTGGGGACCTGCCTCTCACTTTCTTTGGTCTTTTAGAGCCTCCGCCTATGCCGCCGGCGCAGATTGTTCGGCTGCAAATCCCGCAATGGATTGGTGAGGGCTTTCCTGGTACTTGGCTGTTAGCGGGGGGGGAGGCGCTCCCTAGCCTGTATCACCTTTTTTTTATAAAACGCTTTTTGAGTGTATTGTTGGTTTTTTATTACAGGTCCAAATTTTAGGACACCGCGGTTCGTTCGACTCGGCCAACGTTGAGCTCTTCCTGATCGCCTCCTTCTCCATCTTGACGCTGATCATGCTGGCCGGGCTGTGCTTCATGTGCTGCTACTTGTAAGGAGCTGCTAACGCTCGTAAGCAGAAGCGCCTTTTACAGCCCGTGGAAACGGATCAAGGACGACCGGAAGTATCGTGAGCTCGAATCGCGGTTGCGCAAGAAGCGCGATAAGAAGCTGAAAGAAGGTAGCGCTTGATTCCTCGAAAATCTATCCACCTTTTCCAGGCGAACTTCAATTGCCGTACCCGTATCGCCAGGGTGGGTTCTGGGACGCGAATAACGACAACACGGAAAAGCGCCACGCCAAGAAAGCCACCGCCCAGGACATGGAAATCGGGGTGACGGCTGAGACTGTTGGTACGTTGCGTTACGTATGGAGAAGTGCTGCGTACATTTCTTTTCTTCTCCGTTCTTCTGATTTTGCGTCTAAAATTTTGCTTCTTGTTAGCTAATTCTTTCAGCCGCCGCCGTGCGTATCATCATGGAGGACGGCGGGCTGAGCGACGAGCCCGTGTCATCCGCCTCAAAAGCAGACTCGCAGATCATCATCGTGGAACGGGGAGGAAGTGCGTAGTGTAGCGTAGCATAAAAACGTTCTATAACGGATTGTAACGTACTCAACTGATTTTTAAGGACAACCGATTCCGAAGCTGTACAAAGATGAGGATACGTCCGAACGGAGGCGCAGTCAATCCCCGAAAGTTCGCCACACGCGTAAGTGTCTCTCTCTCACTCTCTATCTCGCTCGCTTTCTCGCTCTCCCTCCTCCCATTCAACCTCGTTTTTCAGAAGAGCCGAGCACCACCCTGGCGGCCGTCTCGAAGAAGCCGCCCTCAAAACCGGCAAAGCGATGATCATCTACTGGCCGACCGTACTTCCCTCCTTGAAGACCCAAAAACTCGCCTTAAACATTTCCCGGCCGTTTCAGTGTTGCATTCGGAATACCAACATTTTATTTACCGTGCACCGGAATTTTTTATTTGATGTCGCGCCAATGGGCGGAATAAATTATCGGAGCACGAATCGGACACGTATTGAGAAAACGACAAAAAACCTGAGTGGAAATGGAAAGGCAATGTAAATAGGGTTGGAATGGGAACGACGAGAGCGAGAGAGAGAGAGAGAGCGAGAGAGAGAGAGAAAGAGAAACCTCTCGTGCTCCCTAAGACAACGCAGTCGGGCTCAAAATGTTAGCCATCAACGCTGATTTTGAAAACACAGACGGCGAGAGAAAAGCCGGCGATAGTATTGCCCCACCCAGCGTCTGCGGCGACAAAACATCCGGACATATCGCCAACGGCGACAGTATCAACGGCGCCATCACGTACGGGTTGATGACGTTCGGGGAAATACAATAGGGAGACAATATAAATGGGGCCATGACGATCGGGGTAAAGATGTACGGGCTGAGAAGGTAGGGGGACAGGATGAATGGCATTGCGATGGCTGGCGAGAAGATGAACGGGCCCAAAACCGAGGGGTTCAGGAGGAGAGGGGAGAAGATGGATGGGGACAGGATGACCGGGCCTAGTACGGAAACGCCTGAAAAAGGAGAGTCTTTAAAAGGTTTTTATTACTGTTCCGCAACGCACCAGAACAGCGCGTTGCGTTTCGCGGTATCAGAAAAACAGCAAAAATGCGGAAGCCACAAAATTTATGCGGATGCCTTGCCGGTCCCTTTAAAACAGAGCCAACCTACCGAATGGCGGCGCGAATTGATAAGGCGCCAAGATGACCGGCTCGAGGACGTTGATCGGGAAGGCGAAGGACTGTTGGACGGACGAGGCGCCGGCTGGGGCACCAGGGATCGAGGCGCCAGCACCTACGCCCGATGGGACGCCGACGCTCACTTGGCGCTTCGCACGGGTTGGGAATGACTGGAGGAGGTTCTCTTGATCTCTTTCTGTCTCTCTATCTTTCTCTCTATCTTGCTATCGCTCTCTCGCTCTCTCTCTTCTAACTTTTTTAAAACCGAATCAATTTATCAACCAAAAATAACGACAAACACCACATTTCCACGCATTTCATGAAAAATAAAATAAGATATTCACACACCTCTTATTATCGCAATTATAATAATCATCACATACAAGCAATAGCACCCGAATTGAATAGTTTTGTTCTATCAAAATAAATGGAAAGACGGCAGAATTGCACTCGAAAAATGCACACAATGAGAGAAAGGCTTTGGGTTGGGAATTGGGAGGGGTTATTAGGGGAATTTAGGATGCGGATTCCTCAAAGGATCTTCGCTGGCTTATCTCTATTGGCGAGGAAGGAAGAGAGCGAGAGAGGGAGAGCGAGAGATAGAGAGAGAGAGAGGGAGAGCCAGAGAACGAGAGAGAGATAGAACTAAAATGCCGAAATTCTTAACATCAGAATCCCAAATGTCGGCATTTCGCAATAAGCCCGCTAGCTCAAAAACGACGGGCTCAACACCGAAGCCATCAAGGTTGAGGGTGAAAATACAGAAGGTGAAAGCACAGAAGGCGAAAGTATAGCCCCACCCAACACCATCGGGGACAACACATCAGGGCACAACACCAAGGGGGACAATATCAGCGGGGAGAGCACGTACGGGTTGATGACGTTGGGGGCGAGGACGTACGGGTTGAGGATGAACGGGGCCATGACGAGCGGGCTGATGACGTACGGGCTGAGAAGGTAGGGGGACAGGATGAAGGGCATGGCTATGCCCGGGCTGAGCACGTAGGGGGACAGCACGGCTGGGTTCAGGATCAGGGGACTAAAACGAGTTATTCGAACTGAAACACTAGGTTACGGTAACTAGGTCTTTTTTTAGAAAATGACTACTGTAGTTAGGGCTCTGTTTAGAAAACCTAAAATTTGAAAAATTCCTGATTACGGTATCTAGGTAGCTTTTTGGAAACTGGTTGCTATTATTACTGTAATTAGTATTATGATGTCAATGACTTATCGAAATCTATGGGTTACGGTAGCTATGCAACAGATTATAAAAGTAAATAAGATGCGTTTTAGCTAAAGCTATTTTAACTATCTAACTCTCTCTCACTCCATCTCTCTCCAGCTTCTCTCTCTTTCTCTCTCTCGCTCTCTATCTTTTTCTCTCGCTCTCTCTACCCGCTCTCTAGTCTACCTGAAAATCGATGGTGACAACACAACAGGCCCCAGCACTCCAAGCCCGTAGATTGGCGTGAAGGCGTAAGGGGCCAGTACGGTAGGGTTCAGCACGTTAAGCAGAGGAGAAGCCACACAACCGGGCAGACAGAGACGCTTCACGCGTCGGTGGCTGTCCACAGTCATCGTCGTGTTGTCCGTAGCGTCGTGTAGCCGCTAAAACACCACCACACACTATTGATAACTAAAATTAGGGTTTCATCGAGATAAGCTAGGTCTAATGTTGTTAACGCTAGCCAAAACAACAAGCTACAAAATCTACTACAAACAACTGAAAGTAAATTTGAAGATCACGATTTTAGAAGTATCAAAAAAGGCAATTTGCTAAGCCAAGCCAAAGCCTAAGCCTAAGCCTAAACGTAAGCCTAAGCCTAATCCAAAGCCAAACCCAAGCCTATGCCCAAGCCCATAATATGCCAACCTCGGTGCTATTCGACGCTATTTGCCGTATCCTCAACCATAACGCTTCCTCATTCTGGGCCCGCGTCAGATTCCGGTAGTAGTCGTAGTCAAATCCGTGGTCTTTTCGGTCCCGGATCCCTGTTGGGATTACGGTAGATGATCCAGAGTCTAGAATTGCCCTACCTTGCTCCTCATGAAGCTTCTCGAGTTGGTGCGGTGTGGCAAAGGTGTAACCGCGCTTTTTCATCTCCTTGCGCTGACGGCTAAAAATTTTTGAGCATGGGCATGAGCTTAAACCAAAGCCACTCTCAAGAGCTCAGCCCTCACCCGTTAAAAGAATTCTCCAGCCGCCCAAACATTTGCATGATGCGCTTGGTGACGCTCAACAGCTCGCCCTCCATCCCGAAGATGTTCATCTTCGACACCATCTGAATCGAGTTTTATGGAAATTTGAGGATCTCGATACCTTCATGGCGTCGTCGACGATGCCTCTCGTTCCGGAAACTTCCATGATCATCTCCATCATGGCAGCCCGGTCTTTGTCTTTTAGGCCGGCTGCTTCGAGGATCTGAACTAGGTAGATGAACTAGCTGTAGAGCATCGTTTCTCTCCCTCCCTATCTCTCTCTCTCTCTCTCTTGCGCATACCTTCGGCAACGGTAAGATTTGATCCTCCGCATCGTCCTTGTAAAATGACAAAATCGAGGGCGATAATTGTCGTTTGTCCGTAATTCCGTATTTGTCCGGCATTATCGGAGCAAACCTGAAAAATTTTGGGGTGAGCTTGGCCTGCATCCTAACCTACCTCCCATGTCGAAGCCTAATCCTAAGCCTAAGCCCAAGCTTACCTTGGTGAAAGGAACTTCATATTTTTATCTCGTCCCTCCTTGCCGTTGATGCGGCTAACCAGGCTGTACGTCTCCTGGATGAAGCCGGGATCTTTCGCCTGGAATTGAGCCGGTGGGCGTGAGTGCGAGAAATCGAGAGGGAGAGAGAGAGAACGAGCGAGCGAAAGGGAGAGACGCACTCGTTCCATAATCCCCTTCGTCGGCGTATCCCTGCCCAACACCAAGTCGTACATCCTCAAGTCGTACACCTTGGCCCCCGGCTCGCGCGCCTGGGCGTCAAGCTGCTTCTTGAGCTTCAGAATCGTCTCATACGTGCGCGTCCAGTTTCCTGGAAAGATCGCTCATTGACGTCGATTCGAGGAGTACTCGCCAAGGAAGGTATTAAGGCATGTAATTCCAGCGGAACCAGGGTTTTGCAGTATTTTTTTTGAGCCCTTGATGGTCCCTTTAAAGCGCACCCACCAACAGCCTCCGTATCGTTCTCCCCTCGCACCATCTTCATCACCATTTTCGACACTTTTTGCACAGGGCTCAACCGGGCCTCTAACAATGCTGGCATTTGCTCGAGGTTTCGGATCTGAATTTATCGATTTGGTTCAGCTAAAAGGTGTCCGCGCTACCGTATACTTTTGCGAGTCACTTTTCTGGACCATATCGGCGATTAGACGGTATGGGGATCGTTTCACTCGTCGGCGGAACTGCATGCTGTCGGGTTTCCGGAGTTTCGAGGAATAAAGGATGCGTCGATGAGCGTCCTGAATTGAGAGGGCGAGTGAGAGAGGGACAGAGGAAGAGAGAGAGAGAGAGAGCGAGAGATAGAGAGCGAACGAGAATCAAATTTCTCCCCCCTACCTTGAATTGCCGCCTAATTTTCCTGCGCCTAGACGAATCGGCGTTGGCGAAAAACTTCTTAAAATGCGCCAACCGCTCCTGAAATATGCAAATGTCGTGGTTTACAATCGTCTGAACGTCTTGAACTCGTGGGAGCTTTAGTGGGCAGGCTAGCGATGGGATTAGAGCTTATTTCCCACCTGGATCTTCCGCTCAATCTCCTTCGCCTCGAGCTCTTTTCTGCTGCTCCTGAAGCAAAAAAGGAAATTACGATGGCCACGAAAGACTGACTTTTTAGTTTTTCCGTAACTCGTTGGGTACCGGATCCTCTTCCGGCTTTTCAAAAATTTAAACGGATTCAGCCGAATCGATTTCTGTTGCGTGGTCGAGAATCTTGGCTAAACAGTGGCGATATTGGCTTGCTACGGCATGGTACTTACCGTCTCCGCTGCCGGGGCAGCTACGCGGAACGACCCCATCCATTTCTTGTAGCTAAAAACGGTTTGGAAAGGTTGTTTTATATGCTTGACAAGCATAAGTTAACCTCAAGCCTAAGCATAAGCCTAAGCCTACGTTAGCCGACTCACTTTTGCTTGTGTTTCTCGACATTTATCGGATCCTTGCGCTGTATTTCCTCCTTGACAACTTCCGCAGAAGTCTCGGAGCTGCAAAATTTGCATTTTAATTGCTTTGTTTCAACGCTGAGATTGAAAAAAATTTAATTAAGTTCTTACCTAATTTCCTGCCTAAAAATGGTGCCATTTTTTCCGGTTTTTGCCGCCTGTTCTGCCATAAACTCCTTGTATTCGATTCTCCGCTGCCGCATATCTTCGTAGGCGTCTTTCGCCTCGATTAGACATCTGAATTTTAGATATATAATTCTATCCTCGGATTTCTCTCGCCGGACCCTTTAAAAAGAATCTAATAAAACCCGGAGAACACCCACTTTCCAGCGCTGACGATATCCCTACGATCCTGGACTCGGTCCAAGCAGCGTAAGAGTCGTTTTTTGTCATCTAAAAAATTCCACAGCTTTCGAAGCAGCTAAAAAAGAGACTTTAGCGACTTTTAAAACGTCTATCATACGCAAAAATCGTAAAATATTTTTTAATCCTACTGTAAGAAATCTTCTTCATAATCTGTCGTCCCAGCTGTCCCATCAATGCTTTGATGGAGTTGATGTACCAGTTGTAGTGGATATCCTTTGTCTGTAATAAGGTAAAGTTAAGCCTAAGTCTAAGTCAAGCCTAAGCCTCACCTAATCCTAAGCCTAACATGTAGAGGTTGTCAGGTCACAAGCTCCAAACCGGCTGAAAATTGGTGGAAAAATCAAATAAAATACGGGGAACGCGATGCGATAAAAATTATCTGCTAATGGGCACTTTTGTTTAATAAACTTTTCATTTTAAGTAAGAAAAATGAAGGTAAAATGGACTTTCAGCGGAACTAATCGGGCTGTCGGCCTCGGAATAAATGTTTCGATCGAATTGCCACGGAAAGTACGACACTAGGTACCTTCCCACACCCGGAAAAAAATTATTTGAAAAAATTTTTGTGCACGAAAATTTTGACGACCTATCGCATAGCTTTGGCCGCTAGGTGGGTTAGCAGCTGCTTAAAATAGTTAGTTCTGACCCAAGGTGTTTAAAATCAGAGCCCAAAGATTCCAGATTCCGATAATCACTGTCTCTTTACAATACCTGTACAAAAAGTAATCTGTATTAACTATCCTGTCGATTTTCATGGAGTCGGAATAGGTAGGTAGGTCCTTTTTTGCAAAAACTTCCAAAATTTTGTAATTTATTTTTTTGTCGAGACGTCCGCTACTGATTAATAGGACCGAAAAACATTATAAAAACTATTCTAGACGCGCTCCCTACAAAATAAAAGCAAAAACGGCAAAAAGCAAAAAAAAATAAAAAATGCGGGAACCGAACCCATGACCTTTGGCCTACTATTCCCCGCACCCTACCCCCTTGGGAAGGCTTCAAGAGCTCGCATCTGCCCGCCCCGGTTCTGGCCAGGCTCGCTGGGATTCTAGGTGGGTTTTCCATACAAAATCTTAAAATTAAAAGTTTATTAAACAAAAGTGCCCATTAGCAGATAATTTTTATCGCATCGTGTTCCCCGTATTTTATTCGATTTTTCCACCAATTTTCAGCCGGTTTGGAATTTGTGACCTGACAACCTCTACATGTAAGCCGAAGCCTAAGCCTAAGCCTAAGTCTGAGCCTGAGCCTAGGCTTGAGCCTTAGCCCATGATAAGTAAGCCTAGACCTGCCAAGCTTTCAAGCTTGAGCTCAAATGTTTTAACCTTTTTAAAGAACATAAACCAAATAAACTCACTTTATTATACCCCTTCTCATCGAGCCGGATCTGGTCAAAATCCTTGAGCGTCACCCGCTTCCGGGAGAGGGCTAAAAACATAGTAATCGCTGAAATTTTTAAATTCCTACCGTCTGCCCGCTCTATACTGTAGAGCATGAAGATGAGGCATAAAAGGAGTAGCAGACGAGACCACATCTTATTATAGGGAGTTTCCGGCAGACAACTGGTTACGCAAGCAAAACGGCTGGAACTGGGGGTTCGAAAAAATTAAGAAAAAAGAAGTCGATGTCGAAGTCTGCAAAAGAAGTCGAATTTAATGTCGTAATCATACAGGTGCTGAAGTCAGTCGCATAAATTGTAGACATTAAGGTATGCAGAGGGAACAAAAAAATCTTGGAAAATTCTGTAAACCAAAGCCTAAGCTTAAGCCTAATAAGCCTAACTGTAACCGTTTTTTGTTGACCGTGGGATTTCGATACGTGAGATAGCACATTTTCTGCAGAATTTTCGCTGATTCGATCTCCGAAAGACCCAAAGCCTTGGAAAAACGCCGCTATTAATTAGCATGCCAATCGCAAAATACGTGATGATAAGCCCGGTTTTTTTGCGGTAGATAGCCAATAGCCGTCGGCTGGTTTGGATAAGGGGTGGCTGATCCGGCCAGAGAGGCGTGTGAAAATGAGTGGCATCTTCCGTGGGAGGGGAAGTTGAGGTTCAGGATGAAGCCCTGGCCACGCCCACTTTGCCCTGATGGCTGGCTTTGGCATAAAACGCAGTGGGAGACGGGTTGATTAATAATCGCCCAGATCTGCGAATGATATGCAGATCAGAAAGTGCGGACGTTGGTTTAAGGCTAAGCCTATCCTAGGTCTAAGCCGGGCCTAAGTACGAGCGAAAACTGAGCCTATACCTCTACCTCACCCGCCTACCATTCCTCCGAGCACCAAAACACGCAGGAAGTACTTGACACACCTATCAACACTAGAGGCTAAGCGGCCTACGATAGCTTCCGCCCTAACGGATTAACCCAACGCTAGGTCGAGTGGATAGAGAGTTCAACCCCTCAGCGGGCCGCTAGCCTTGATTCCGTTGGATTCCGCTACTTTCCACCTTATGGGCCCACTGTCTTGATAATCCCCCTTTTTCCGCGTCACTCCACCCTCCCTTTCTGCAAAAGGGAAAAGTTACTTTTTGGGGGAAGGTTTTGAATTTGGTCAAGGACGGTCTCAGAGAAAGAGGTCGGTGAGGATAATTCCGGGTTATGACGGAATGATGGGAAATCGGAGATCTTGGGGACCCTGAAAAGCTGTCTGCGATCTTTAAAGGGGCTCAGAAGTCTAAATTCGTGCGTGCGGAGATTGAACCTACGGGTCAAAAAATGAAAGGGTCACTGCCGAGAAGTGCGAAAATAGTGATTTGATTGCGAAAAAAAGTAAAATGTTTTAGAAAAACCGAATTCTTTTTGGGGCGAAAACGACATTTTGAGTGGGCGGCGATTACATGTCGTAATGCCTTGTAAGGCACCCAATCACTCGATCTCGGTGATTCTCTAATCAATTTTCATAATTTAAAAGTATGGAATGATCAAAATTCGTTGAGGATTCCAAAAATAGTATCATAATTTTTAAATTCAAGCGTTTTCGCGTCCAAACAGAGGCAAAAGATTATGCGGAGCGGTCGCGGTGCGGCCGCATCTGGCTATTTGCCAGGAATCACAGCAGGGGGGCCGTGGACCAGATTTCGGAGCCCCTTTAAAAAGGGAGAGATGGTTACGGTAGAAAGCGAGAGAGAGAGAGAGAGAGAGCGAGAGAGAGAGAGAGCGAGGTAGAGAGACCCAAAGGAGCTTGACAAACTCTTGAAAGCGAGGCACGAGCACAACTCGAAAAATCGGCGCTGAATAACAACGGATACCAGTCAGGGAGTCTGAGCTTTAAGCGGCTGAGTTTGACCAGGCAAAGCAAAGTTCGATAACCTTGAAGCTTGATAAACCTGAACATGACCCCCGCTTCAAATCCTTAATCTCGAAGATCTTCAGCCTCAAGCAATTAGGCTTGGAAATAAACAATAAATTAATATTAAGAAGTATTTACTCTTAAATTAGTTAATATAAAACCAAATTTTGAAGCACTTGAATTTTAAGAAAGATATACGTAAAGAAACTGGACTAAAACTTAGGAGCTTGAGCTTGAGCTTGAGCTAAGAGATTGAGCTTGAGCTTCCGCAACTTGAAATTAAGCCTAGGAACAAAGGCTCGGGGAGCTCGGGCTTGCGTCGCACACTAGACCTAGAAAAGCGTTAGCCCAAGCATAAACTGCAGAAGCTGCAGCTTAAGTCCGAACTACCACGTAGCATCAACTCAATAAGTCATTTAGCGTGCACTAAGCCCGGAACTAAGACTCCAAGGCGGAAGCCGGAAAAGAAGCTTGACTATCGGCTGGTTGGGGCATAAAGCCCTGCCTTCCTGGTCCCTTTAAAGCGCCAGGGCAACCTCTGGCGAAGCACCCAGGTTCATGGTCGGGCTTTATAAAGGCCTTTCAGGGGCGGGGGCAGTTCACCCGGGGCGTTCCGTTGTCCGTTATTTTGAAGAGGTGGGCCCGTTGTCGTGCACCCGGACTGGGGGATTCGTTCCGGATGGATGGGGGGAGACCGTCGAAGCAAGGGAGCAAGAGAGGAACAGAAGGGAGGAACAGCCGGTAGGAACGGTTTATGGTAATACACCCCGTTCCGATGATCCGTGCCCACACTCTGGCCAGTCAGCCAGGAAGCATGCAACAAGGGTTAAAGGGATGACATTTTAGGAGGAGGCAGGCCATGTTTAAGCTCAAGCTCAACCCTAAGCCTAGGCCTAAGCCTAAGCCTAAGCCTAGGCCTAAGTCTAAACCTAAGCCTAAGCCTAATCCTAGGCCTGAGCCCAAACTAAATCCCAACCTAAGCATGCCTAAGCCAGAGTAACAAATCCTGCAAAGCCGGTAATCCCTACCACCTAGCGCTTTCTAAAAAAGCCCCAGTCAACTGAAAACTGATGGCAGCAAAAAACGGGGGAGAGCAGAAACTGTTGTGGAGACGAGCGTGATGATGATGATACGATCCCGCTAGCTGGGGTTGATACCGGACCCCAGCCACGCGATTTATGGCCGACGTCAACGTGTTCGGCCGGCCGGAGTTGCAAGCCACCAGTTAAAGGAGCGCGGAAGGCTCGGGAAGCTTGCTTTGGCTTAGGCTTAGGCTTAGGCTGAAGATGCAATCATCAACAAAGAGGCAAAGTTCATGACGGAAGGAACAGCAAAACCAAGCAAGCGCTCCTATGAGTTGTATTTTTGGTTTTTGAGCTCGACCTCACCGAACTCAGCCTCCCCAAGTACATATATCTGAAGCCCGAGCTCCTTCAGGTCCTGCTCACCCGTGTTCCACACCTCAACTCCATGAGCAACGGATTTTTGAGCTCTGTCTGCCTGTTTGCTTTATATCTGTCCGTTTTGCCTCCCCCTTTTGCTAGGTTGGGGTGGACTCGGCGGTATCGCCCGAGATCAAACCACCACAATTTCCCTCGGCTCGATCCGCGAGGAGGATGAAACACCCACAGGAGCTGAAGAAGGGGAGCACGAAGAAAGACAAACTGACCGAAAGACGGACTGACAGACAGACAGACAGACAAACCCCGGATCGGTCAGCCAATCCGCGCGGGAATGGCACTAAAAATCGCTATCGATTTTGGGAGGATTCTCAGATGCTTTAAAGTGACTTAAGAACTTTTTATTTTTTCTACGCTATCAATTTTATGACCGAAAATAGCCTTTCGTTTTGATGCGCCGAAAGAGAGAGAGAGAGAGAGAGAGAGAGAGAGAGAGAGAGAGAGAGAGAGAGAGAGAGAGGAGAGAGAGAGGGAGAGAGAGAGGGACATTTTGGCGGCCTGAGCTTTTCAAAAACCAAGCTAATTTTTACATATTAATTATAGGGTTTTCCATCGATATCATGCTGCACTAATGATTGGTGATCGCATTATAGAAAAAACTTATTGAAAACCGCTTTACGCTTGAAGATTTCAGCTCTACTTTTTATTTTCCTGTAGATGTGTACATTTTATTAGAGAGAAAGAGCGAGCGAGAGAGAGAGAGAGAGCAGAGAGAGAGAGATACCATGAGAGAGACATAGAAAATGTAGAGAGAGTTAGTCAGGGAGAGCACGAGAGAGCTCAAACCCGTGGATCCATTGATTTTTTTACCAATCTCACCTGAATTTCGACGTCAATTCTCACTTTGCCCAAGTCAAGGCTACTGTACCCCCTCCCCTCTACCGTACCCCCGGTCAGTATGATTTTTCTCGGTTTGAGGAGCGGCGAGTGGGAAAGAGAGGAGCAGCGGGGCTCGCTCGGATCGAAAAGTGTCCGTCCTAACGGGGAGAGCGAGATCAAAAAGTATCTCGGCGGTTCTTTTCCTCTTTTCCTCTTGGCTCGCAAAAAGATGGTCGGCTCGTCAAATTGGACTGACAGGGAGGGGGGGGGGACGGGGACAATCTCGGATCACAGGGATACGGTAGCCGAGTGAGGGGCGTTAGGTCGAAATGGCCGCCGGGGATTAATGGCGGTTCCCAGGCACTAATAGGTCAATGGGAGGGTTTTGATCTCGATCTCGGCCTCCTAGGGATCATCTTTTTCGAGTGACGTGAGCGGGGGAGGAAAGCTTTTGAAGGAACCGAGCTAGGAACGTCTAGAAATTCGAGATTACCTAATCCTATAAGCCTTCAAATAATCTAAACTTGGCACTGGGCTTTTAGCGGGGGGGAGGGAGGAGATTTTAACGGGGTAACCAAATTATTCCTAACAGCCGCGTACATTGCTTTGCGAAATTTAAATATTTTTTCAAATTTTAAACCGATTTCATAGATAAAGGGCCATAAAAATTAACTAGGAGCGTTTCGAAAAATGTTATAGTTTTAATGACAAAAACGGCAGTTTTTCAGTTTATCAAAAATTTCTGCAATATTTTTATGGCCGTTTATCAATTAAAAACAAGAAAAAAACCCTAGAAATGCCTTAAGTTTTTAAAAAACAAAGCTAAACGTAAAAATTAGCCGCAGCCTAACCCTAGTAGCAGTGCCCTAACTAACCCCCCGCTAATAGTCCAGTACCCGATAGCCGATTACGAAATCAAATTGCACCTCAATGGAGGCGTGCATTGCCATCCAGGTTCCTTTACTTCAAATTCCAAGGCTACCCGATATTCGATTACGCGAGGTAATGTTGAGTACAAGAAGGCTTTATTCAGTGAAAAAGGGCTGCGATTGGATACACGAAAAACGATCGATATTTGCTTGTTGATGGTGGTGGCGAGCGGTCTGACGTTGCTGATCGAGGAGACGCACCTGAAAAATAGGGATTAGGATGTAAAATAAAAGGTGTAAATTATTCAATTTCTCGGGTAACGTCGGATACCGTAACGTAGCGACACACCTATGACTTTTTGGTCTCCTCTGGCGGCTCGGGGCCGATCGCGCCGGTGACGATCAGAATAGCGACGAGACCGGCAATAGCGGCGATGACGATCACAAAGATGATCAGGAAACAGCAGCACGTGTTCGTTTCCTGAAAAGATGTCGGATTGGGGGAGTGTGAGCGTAATTATGAGCCTGAGCCTTGGCTAAACCTAAGCGTTAAAATATAAGCCTAAGCCCAAGCGGGCACGGTTTAAGAAACTCCGATGATCGAAAATCGGGCTTTTCGAAAAAAGACTTTAAAGTGATTTTGAAAAATGGGTTAGAGTGCAGTTTACCCCCCAGCCGCAACTTTTCAGCCATACGTCCTATTAATGCGCCGAGTATCTCAAAATGTTCGCCGTGGTCGAATTACTATAAAAAAGTTGTTTTCTTGCGGCAAAAATTGTTAAAATTTTTTTTACAAGATTTTGAAAGTTGAAAAGATTAAGCCGCTATGCTTCGATGTACTAGGAGTCTAAAACACAAATATTTTTATTTTCCGCTATTTTTTTCGACTCAAACGTACTGTAGGCTTATTCTCCAGAGCAAGAGCTAATTTTTGGTACCATTGACAGTTCTGTGCGTCAAAAGATAGCCGAGATACGAAAACTCACTTTGGAACAGCAAAAATTAACTAAAGAAAACCCACACTTATAATTGTTATAAAAAATTTTCTAACAATTTTTGATGTAATAAAACAACTTTTTTATAGTAATTCGACCACGGCGAACATTTTGAGTACTCGGCGATTAATAGGACGTATGGCTGAAAAGTAGGGCTGGGGGAAGCTCACTTAAGCCGAAAAATGTCTCTGGGATCGGGCTCTTTGGGATTCTCTGGAGCACCAGCTTTTTTCTTTAAAGTCCAAATTTTTTTGTAATATAAATCGAAAACTGTTCTTAAAATGTGGTAAGAGTTTACTTTACCCCCCCAAAGCCAAAGGGTCTCAAAGTTTTCGGTATTTTCGCTTATTTTGTGGGGATTTTTGCAACGCCATTCGATAGAGCGTCGAAAAATATACTAAGAGTTTTAATTTGAGCCTACAATAATGTAAAATAAAAAAGTTGTAGTCAAAAACTTCCGGCTGGGGGGGCGGTAAAGTAAACCGTAGCCTAAAAGGTTTTATACGTCTAAATCCTAACTTTAGAAATTTTGAAAACCGACACAGATATCGACTTTTTGGAGGATCCCCCTCCGCTAATTCCAAAGCACCGGAAATCGTAACGTGGTTCCCACCTTGGGAGGACGTGGGGGCGAGGCGACCGGCTTCCCGTCTGGCCCAAGCGGCCTTCCCCATTTGTCCACCTCCAGCTGGTCGGGCGGTGGCGACACCTCCTCGGCCATTGCCTCCGACCTAGCCCCTAGATACCAGATCAGGCAAAAAGTTTCAAAAACGCCAAAATACGCTATGTATCGTTAACCGGTAGGTATAGCCGTAGAAATAAATTACTTCCCCGCAATTTTTATAAACCATTGACATTTTTCTAGCTTGTTGAAAAAGCAAAAGTACGGTGAAAAAGCAAAAAATCCAAATTTCCACAATTTTTATATCTTTATTTTGTTTTTATATCTTTTTATTTTCAAAAACCGAAATTTTTTATTGCTTTCTAGCAATCAAGAACTAGTAAAATCGCTATAAAAATACATAATATATCAACAACGGGTATTGATGGAAAAAGCAGAAGCCTTACGAAGCTGAGCAGCAAGCCCGGGAGCAGCCTTGGGAGCAGCAGGGGCAGCAGCAGGGGGAGGAGGAGGAGGAGCAGCTTCGGGTGCCGGTGGCGGTTGGCTGGGAGCGGGGCCAAAGTCCTCGTACATCTTTTGTCGACACTGTAAAGGGGGTGTCACGGTGCCTTTAGGAGGACGCTGTCTCACCTGTTCGTTCCCGTTGGAGACGTCACAAATAAGAAATGGGAGGGTAGAAAATGTTTGGGATTTTGGGAGGGCATGCCCTTTATTAGGTGTTTCAATTGATGTAAATTTCTGTCCTAAATTCAAAGGCAAAAATGGAAATCGCGTTCGGATGATAATTTTGGTACTTTTGCAGTGTCGGGGGGACCAAGTTTTTGCGGAAATTCAAAAAGGCCTCTTAAGATGGTCGTAAACCTTTTATAGTGTTTTGGGCAAATTTAACAGCATTTCAAGTAAAAAATATGGAAAGCTTTCTACAAAAATACAATTTTAGGTCGACAACGCCCATTTTTTCGTATTTGGAAATAAATCTATTACATTTTGAACAGAGCGGTAACTATCACTCTTGCGTATCGCTCTCTCTTTCTCTCACGCTCTCTCTCTCTCTCTCTCTCTGTCTCTCTCACTCTAGAAAATTAGCTTCCAAAATTAGCATCCGGAATTTAGGTCCATTGCATCTTTTCGTCAGTATAAATAAAAACCCCAGGGTCAATCCCCGATTTTTCTATCCGCTTTGTATTGTCTGGTATTCAAGGAAACAACAGGTAAGGAGGTTTTTTTGGTTTTAAAGACACTGGAACACCTGGAATTTAACTGTAGAACGTTGACAACCGGTATCACTTTCCAGTAACGACAAAAAATGTACGAGGATTTTGGGCCGGCCGTCTCGCCGCCGCCCGCCCCCGGGTCGTCGATGCCCGGCGCCCCGCCAGCGCCGCCCACGCCCCCGGGTACGGTTGGGTTACGGTATCGGACATTTGAGAAAAAGAGAATTTTTGGTCCATTTTGCGCATGAATTTACGCCGCATTTTTCGTCAACAAAGTTTTTGTTTCAGTGGAGGCAGCCGCCGCTTCATCTGCTGCTCCACCGCCTCCAGCTCCAGCTCCAGCTCCAGCTCCAGCTCCTCCTCCTCCTCCCCCTCCTCCGGCAGCTCATCAGCCTCCCTCGGGCCCGGCTACCGACAACAGCTCCCACCACACCAGCAAGCCCCGCCGCGGCAAGAATCGCAGCTCAAAATCGACCAAAAGTGTGAAGGTAACTTTTTGAGTTAGGCTGTGGCTCGGGCTCCTCAATTTTTTTAAAGATGTCACGAAAATTGGAACCCCTCCAATAATGCCAAAGCTCCAAACATCCACTCCCTTTAGAAACCCCGTTTCGGTTGGTGCCTCCATCCCGGCGTCCTCGTCCTCTGGGTCGTCATTCTGGCCATGCTCGCCCTCGGAGGGTACTGTATGTGGGAGATTGTGCTCCATCACTGAACACCGGCTCGACCACCCGCTCCACAGCCTGACCTCAACGACCATGTCGATTTTATTTGCTCTTGGTGTTACTGTAAAGTGTGTTTTTCCGGAATAAATTGCTTTTGGCATGAATTTGATGGCGTAATCGGATCGAGGAGAACAGTGAGAGAAGAGAGAGAGAGAGAGAGAGATCTGGGGGCTAGAGCTAATACAGACTTTATAAAAACTCGATTTCAGAGAGAGAATCAGCTCCAAATTAAGCCTCATATCAATCGAAATTCCTCAAATTCCTCTCTCCACATATCACCAAAACAGTTCGAAGTGACGAATTCTAGTTCTACGGCCACGCCGAGCACCGATCGCCATAAATTTTCTTAGCCTTAGCCTCCTCTCTCTCGCTCTCGCCCTCTCTCTCTCTCTCTCGCTCTTTCAGTCCTGGCAGAAACGCAGAGACGCACCAAAAAACCGTGGATCCAACCATAGCTCCAAAGGGGGCAGATCTGATGAGTTTTTGGCCGGACCGAGAGCAAATTCCCCCGATTTATTGCACTCCCGGCGCCACAGGCTGGGAAAGGGGAGGAACTGCTCGAGGGGGAGCAGCAAAAAAATGGAAGTGGTCATTTTTCGGACCGGGGGTCCTGGCAGGAAATGGGGTACTGTAGGGCGGAAGGTTGGGGGTTTGGGGCCACGCTAAAGTGCGGACGCACTAATGACAGTATTTTGTGTGTGAAGAAGCATGAGGACAATATTTTTTGAGACATTTTGGAAGTGGTACAGTAGGCTAGGCTTACTCCTTCCGTCTCTTTCCAAAGCCTAAGCTATACCTAAGCCTAAGCCTAAGCCTAAGCCTAAGCCTACGCTTAAGCCTAAGCGATCAACTCCACCTTAGCCTCCCATCAAATTCCGGCTTATCCCACCCGGCGTGCTTATGCCGATTGTAAATGGGCGTGATCCGGAATCTCATCTCCCCCGAAGGGCTAAATCTTGAACCCTTAAAGGGAAGGGATCTTTGTTACCCTCTCTTGGTCCGCCTCCCCTGGCGAGTCTCGATTTGTGTTTCCTCTTCCTCCTCATGCTTGTGCTCTTCCTCATCCTCGTCCACCTTTTCCTCCCCTTCCGTTCTTGGGTAATGCGTCTTTGATGACCCGCGCCGACTCATTAAAACGCAATCACTCGCCTGGTGGATCGGGCGACCTGTCTCGACAATGTTGTCCCCCGGTTTTTATGGCCCGGCCCCTGAAACAGGGTTCAAAAAGATGACGGGGGTGGAAACGTAGTGGCGACTTTGGGGGTCTACCTTTTTAGAATGATCTTAAAGAGTCCTGAAAGGCAGAAATGGGCATTAATAGGGTTAGCTGTCGCTCGCTAGCAGAGATCCTTGAGGACGAGCGTTGTCCAATCGAGCAGGGACGATTGAGGAAAGAGATTGGTGCCAAAGTAAGACGATGGGAGAGTGAGAGAGGGGGAGAGAGAGAGGGAGGAAGAGAGAAAGAGAGATAGCTAGAAAAATCCATTGCCATGCCGTGCCAGTTTCCTTTAAAACCGCTACACTCCAAAATTTTTCATATTTCGGCAGGGTAATTACCGTAATTCACTAATAGCGTGGGCTACCGTAACCCGGAAATCGCCCCAAACGGACAAGTGTAACTTGAGCCGGTTCGCTTTTGGCCAGTTGGGTGGATCAAAGTCGCAATCCAGGCACTAGTTTTGCAGCCAGAAGAGAGAGAGAGAGAGAGAGAGGTGAGAGAGAGAGAGAAAGTGAGAGAGAGCTAGATAAACTGTTCTGATCGCATGACGTCGACCCCCAGCCAGACGTGCAAGACCAAATGCGGTGGTCCATTCGAGGGGCAGGATTTATCGTTTCTGGCAAAAAGCGCGGGGGATACGGTCGGTCGGTCAGCGCGCCCGCGCGTTGTACTTCTTCTATTTATCTGTTGCTGAGTTGGGGGTTGAAGCTTGTTGGGAGAGCTTCAAATTTTGTCGTTGCTGTCAGGGAAAGATCGAAATCGCCAAAATTGTTGAGATTCGAAAATCCTGACTTGAGAAAAATCATGACAGCCATAATTTCGACAGACAAAAGTGTAAACGTTAAATTACACATGAAAAACCCCGACAAGGTTAATCCCGGTTTCAAAATACCGACAGCCGAATACGGACATCAGAAATTTGGGGAACTTGCCTGTCGGTTTTTCAGATGTCGGATTTTTGAATTTCGGGATTACGGCTGTCGGGATTTTTGTGTAAGTATTTGCCCTCCTACGCAACCACACAAAAACTGCATTATTTCGTTTCTTTTAAATTATTTATTGGCCCAAGGCACCCGTATCATCATTGTGAGGTCACGATTTCACTAATTGTCATAATTGCTGCCATCTTCTCGCGGCCTCGATGAGTTTCACGCGATTTTCGCCTAAAATGTTATTAGATGAAAGTATTGCTCTGTCAGTAAAAATTTGCATACCTGTTATCACCCAACCCAGTGAGGTTAACGATACACCCCGCTCGCACAGAGCCCTCGGAAAAGGCACCGAAACCACCTTTTTCATCGAGTTGACCCGGAAGGTTTGGACGGCTAGCTGAAGGGACAGAAAGAGAGAGATGAGAGAGAGAGAGAGAGGGAGAGAGAGAGAGAAATTTACTTTGTCTAGCATCTCGGCCTCCATCATCCCCGCTTCATCGGCTTCGCGGGCGAATGTAGGTACGAAATGGTACCTGAAAATTTGAAAGAAGTGGGACAAAGCGAAGCCTAAGCGTTAGCCTAACCTAAGCCAAGCCAAGCCAAAGCCTACCTTTCCGTACTAATAGCACCGGCGTGTAGCCCACACACACCATTGGAATATTTTGGCTGGCCGGGCAACTCGACCAGGGTCACGCCTAAGGGCTAAACAACCTTTTGAACTCTTGATACCCTTCTTGAACTTCCGGAACAACTCCGTGTCGAGCTTCTTGAAGTCGTCGCCCCGGGTGGGGGACAGGGCAAGAACCTGGAGAATTTGAGTAGGTAAAACTCTGGTCCGGGTTTAACAAATCCGGGTTTAACAAATTGGCAGTAGAATCAGTACATTTGGGTCCAAAAACCGGGCCACGTCAGCGAGCCGAGCGTCTGTTTGTCTGCTAGGAACGTCGGAGATGAGGACCTAAAGAAGCCGTGCTGTAAAGAGAAGGAGAGAGAGAGAGAGAGAGAGAGAGAG